CGGTGTTAATTAAAAAAATTGGTTAATAAATATATTGAGTACTGACTTCATAACAACAATTTTAAAATTTTAAAGGGAATTTCGTGATATCATATATACAGTTATAAACAGTTAAAGATAGTCCCTACAGATGTAGTAAATTGATTTGAAAGATTTGAATACTGAATAAATTAAACAAACCTTGGTAAGATACTTTGAGAGTTGACTTCATATCGAAATCTTGAAATTGAAACATGGCTTTAGGAATCCCTGTATTTACACAATGTCAAGCTCCTCTCAAAATTAATAATGTTACTTATGTATTCTATTGATGTGGGTTATGTGAAGCCATGTCTACACACGCCCACTATGTGAACATAGCGTTTGTTTACATTGTATGTTTAGAGTACCACATATTGTCGTCACATTGTTGAATCACAAGTGGATTTCTAATTGCTTGTGTTGAAACAGTGTTTGGGTTGATGATGTCATAAAGAAAATTGTATATGTTACATTGTGACAAAATATTTGAATAGGAATTATGAATTGATATTTTTCGTCAAATATACATCTTCAAAATGTCAGAACTGTAAAGATTAATTCAACACTCCTTATGTGACGTAACATAGTAAAAAATTATTATAAAGCAGTGACTGTGTGGCTGGAGTCATTGACCCGGGGGTTGCCAAGTTAGACCATAACAGTTAGCGGGTCCTGAGGTCTTGAGGGTCCAAAAAGCATTTCAAGCTCAAAAAATTGCCCTGTATGGTACAGAAAAAGGACCCCCAGAAGTATGCGCACCAGGATGGCGCACAACCTGAACATAGTATGTGTGTACCGGTTAGGATTCAGGTTGTGTGACATCTTGGTGCGCATACTTCTGGAGCACCCAGAAAAATGCTTTTTTTTTGCATTTCAAAAGTAAGAGGCCGAAAACGTGTTTTCGAAGAGTCTTTAGGGCCTAAAAAGTGTTTAAAACTACAAATAATTGCTATGTATAGTACAAAAAAAAGCTTTTTTCACATTTCAAAAGAGAATTCCGAACCCGATCCAGAGTCTCGCTTTGATTGATGGTGTGAAACAATTCACTTCAAATAATAGATTATTAAAAACTACGAATTTGGCTTCCCAAGTACATTTTTAATTTCTTGAAAAAATATATACTGTGTTGAGAAGTTTAAGATTTTTCAACTCAAATTTTATAACTCTGTTTTTTCCCATTTTATTTTTTAAATTTTCCAACTAAACAGCTATTGCTCAATTCTATAAATGATATAAACGGATTGATATTTTGGGGGCCTAAAACTGTTTCAAGCTACAAAAATTTGATTTGTATGATACTAAAAAATGCATTTTTTTACATTTTAACAGTAGGGTGTCCGACAGTTATTTTATTTTTTAAATTTGCGAGTTAAGAAGCTATTACTCAATTTCACATCATAAATACATTTTGGTTTCCATTTATCTCATCGGCCCATTGTAAATTTATTTTTATAGGGGATGGGCTCTTTATTAAAAACATGTTTATTTTCCGGTAGGAACCATTTTGAAAGCAGACAGTGTATTATATCCTTCAATAAATATACAAAGGCGAGTGGAAGGTTAAATATTGGTCACAACTATGATGTCACAAAATAAAAAATTCCGATTTGAACTTCATGCCCACCGACTGACCTAGGGTTCACAAAATTGGTTCAAAATGTAGTGTTGGAGAGATACAATTCTTTCGAAAGGAACATGGGAACACTCCATAAAAACATGGGTAAGAAATACTAAAAGCATGGGAACACTCCATAAATACAGGTGCAGGAGATACCGAAAGATAGAAAGAGGAAAAAATGAGTTGAAATCATGACTTAATCCCACAATGCCTTGAAATTATTTTAAAATGTTGTATGTAAACTATTTGACATTGTTGACGGAATAAAATACCCCTACTGCTACTACATAAGAAGGGAAAGATTTTGTCAATATGATAATTTTGACCCGAAAAACAACTTATTTTAAAATTAAAAATCTAGTTAGGCCCAATTCTTAAAAATTCTTATTTATAAATTAAATTGTCCAAATTTGAGCAAAAAATTCAATTCATGGAACACTATCTCATATTGTCTGGCAATGTAATACCGGATCTGTTTGGTATGTGTGGGTAGCTCGGACAAGTTGAGACTTGATGGGAAGATCAATTGTTATCACACAATGCCGTCGAAGCATGTTTTCTTTATTCTGAGTATAATCTTATTATTGAATCACAATAGAATTCTTAAATTCATCTGGTATTGTAGAATTTAGACTCCTAATCTCTGCACTGTTGACCAAAAATATTCATTACTTCAAGAAAGTATATTAAAAAAGGTTTTAGGGGGTATTGTGAGTCTTTGAAGTCTTTCTTAGCAGTTTGAGCACAAGTACTCTAAAATTTTTAATCGATAAATTAACCATCATGTTCTGTTTTGCATCTTGTTTCGATAAATGTGTTATAAATGTGTTCATAAGAAAATCCGATACATGGCATATTCAACAACCTCTTTTTTCACCGTTATAAATCATTCTTCGCAGCGCAGATGTTGTTTTGAAGAAGAGATCATTTGCTACCTTTCCTACAAAGATTCAATACCATTCAAATTACAACCAAATGCACATACATCTCACTATGTCCCCCCCCCCCAAAAAAAAAAAATTTTAAATTATGGAAACTGTTCGACCCTCCCTGATCTCATACAAAAAAGTGCATTTACAGCTGTGACCGGGGGCCGAAAACAAATGATTTACTATTCTAAAATTTATTTAACACTTGATCTTTTGTTTGTGTATGATCATATAAAAAAATTCGAAGTATGCAAACCAAGATGGCGGACATCGGAATGTAATATGTATACTAGGTTAGGGTTAGGCCATAATTTTAGGTATAAATACTATGGGAGGCTCTTGGCTAGTCTTCGAACTGATAATAGGACTAAAATAAGGAAAATTGGAAAAAAATTATCGCCTAACCCCAACCTGTTACCCATGTTACGTTCCGATGTCCGCCATCTTGGTTCGCATACTTCGGGAGCACCAAAAATTCAATATTCTAGGACCCTTTGCACTAAACTCACTTCTCTCTAGAATACGTTCCAAATAACATGGATTCTGTTTTTATTTTAAAGTCTAAGTGCACTTACAACATTCAAACCTAATTAAGTCCCAAAGTACGGTGTAATACTTCAGTGTCTTATTAATATTAAATGCAAAGACGCATGAATATTTGATGAATCTCACACGAAAGATTTTAAGGTACGAGAAGGATGACTAAAGTTTGAAAATCGTGAATCATGGTCGCAAAATCTCGTTTAGTTTCGTCTGCCACAGCCTGGTCGTTAAAGCGTTAAACTCAACAGTGTTGGCATTGCAGGTTACACTCAAGGTTCTAATCCCAGTCTACCATCCCAGTCTACCACCTAACTGTCCCAACAGGGCCCATTAAATTGGATTGGTCAATGACGAAAGTATATCCCTAATTAGCAGAGGTCACAGCACTTACACAGGGTCTTGTTTAGAGAAAAGGCATATAAAAACACTGTATGAAAAAAATCCACCTTCAAAAAATCCACAATTTCACCTTTAAGTGAAATAAAATGAGAACTGAGATTGATGGTTTGAAAATTTGTCTTTCCTCTCTAATACAAGACTGGGCAATTACCTTTCTGAGTGGGCCAATTGCAGATTATAGACTTGGTTATTGCTCAAAATATAAAGCTATAAAGGAAATATTGTTGGATACTGAGTGGGATTATTACGGTAGGAAATGAATGAGGTGCCTTGATAAAGGCAAAAAGTTCAAAACAATAAAACAAACTGAAGAACTCTTAGATTATAGCATCAAGTCATTCTCGAGTTTTTCCTACCCCTAGCATAACTGGAAAAAATTTTATTCTGTTGACTATAACTAAACAAAAATGTTCGAAAATATTCAAATTTATTTTCTCTGATAAATTCAAAAATCGAAGGTATATCTTACTAGTCATTTAGCCATGGTTAGATTAGACATCCTATAAACTTTCTTCTCCATAACTATATATATTAAAATGAAACAATCCTATATTATATTTAGTATAACTTTCTTGAAAAACTCAAAGTTCAAAAGTCAAAGGTCAATCTTTCAAGCTCTCATAAATAATCTTCTTAATATTATAGAAATGTCATGCAATTATATCAATCATCTAATCTATTGATAAGCTTAAATAAAACTGATCATTCAACTAATCTGTCTGAACTTAAGCATTATTAGCCGACTTTTAAAATTAAGATTATGAAATCTGGCTTGAACTATTTTGGGCACCAATGCCCGTAAAAGAGAAGTTTAGAACCTAAGACTTAGATTCGCTCTTCCAATTATGAAAAAACCTTGGCATCGGACATAATTCTGGCCATGAAGCCCACGGATATCTGTTTGACAACTATTTCATCATAATTGACTACTATTTTGACTCAACAATAAACATCTTTGGGCAATCATTTCGAACTTTGAAAGGAGCTCAGACAGAACCGCGTCATCAAAAATAAAGTGCCTGTGCGATTTATTTATTCCAATCACCCTAACGAGCACATCGCCATCGTATGGTGCTGAGCCGTTATAGTATAATTTATAAGGAACCCCACAAATTTGACACAAGGGGGTTTTTAAAATATGGCATTATATATTAGAATTTATAGATAATGCCATTTTTTAGTTAACGCTACCGTTGTCAAATTTTATTATTGCTGTTATTGTTTCTATGGACTTCTGATCGCACTCAAACAAAATGACATTATGCTAACTTACGGTAATACCAACAGCTACTCGAACTCGAACCGTGCTAAATTCTCACAATAAGAACGTACAATCCTGTAGGGACTGCTTATATGCAATTTTTTATAAATTCACCGTTTTTTAGGGAGTCGGATTATATGCAAGATCCGCTTATAAGAGCGAATATTCAGTAATAACAAAACAATCTCTAGGTCCACTTCATGTTCGATAAGACTTTTCAGAAACCTACCTCATAAAAAGCTTTGATGTGTTTCAATAGAATGTTGAGGTTCTGAATCATCAGGTTAACGTTTCCACGAGCATGTTTATCCGCTTTTGCATTGATGGGACGAGGATCGCTATAATTAGAAAATCGAAGTTTTTTAATCAAAAATAGACAAAAAGGGCACTAGAACAGTTTTTTCTACCTTTTTTCTTTCGTGACCCACTTTCGTTGCACAAAAATTTGTGGCCCATTAAATGGTGCTCCCGAAGTATGCGAACCAAGATGGCGGACATCGGAACGTAACATGGGTAACAGGTTAGGGTTAGGCGATAATTTTTTTCCAATTTTCTTTATTCTAGTCCTATTATCAGTTCGAAGACTAGCCAAGAGCCTCCCGTAGTATTTATACCTTAAGTTATGGCCTAACCCTAACCTAGTACACATATTACATTCCGATGTCCGCCATCTTGGTTCGCATACTTCGGGAGCCCCCCATTAAATTTCTCATGGAGGGGAAAAACAAAAAAAAATTTCTACAAAGATAGGCACTTCAATAATCGAAGTGAAAATTGCCACACTGCAAAAAGACAGCATCATCATTCATTACTAATACAATCAAAGTTTTACTAATTTTACAATTAACAACACTAATAATTTTTAATAGATCACACCCTGGGTGGACAGTCAGCTTTATAAGCACAAAAAACAAAGCTATGACCCAATCATAAAATCAAACTCTCACATTTGTATCATAATTTCACTGAGAGCGACTCCATCGACTAGATCTTCGACTTCGAGTGTTTCCCTGTTTAGTAAAAGCTGAAACTGTGGAAAGAAAAGAAAAATATTTGATTGTGAAATTGTAGAAACAATTCAAACAAGGTCCCTGGACAATTTGCGTGGAAGGGAATTGAAAAGGCTAATATTTTCATTAAGTGCAACAGTTATTGTAATTATAAATTTATGATTAACATTTGTTAGAATCCTTTTTATAGCTCCAAAACTATCCTTAAAGGAAAGATATTATTTAAGCCAATTTATCAGCATACAAGTTTTCTTACAAAAATGCGGATGTGAAACTAAAGTTAACAAGTTGTAGTGATTCAAGGTTTATAGTCAAAACTTTAAATTTCCTGTCTCAATTTCCAACTTTTTATCATGATAATTGAATTCCGACAAAAAATCTAAAGCATTAGGTCGACTAAACACTCTCAAAAGAAAATTCCAGTTAAAGCAAAGAAGTTGGAGACAAAGTAAAGAATGGTCGCAGAAAATTGGAAAATTGGAAGGTCAGGCACGATCACAAATAAAATGCGTGCTTACTTATATTTCTTTTTTGATATGCTCTTATTTCTTTTGGGTTCTAGAATAATACCTTTTAGGTTCTATTTGATTTCGGTAATATTCTGTGTAATGTAACATTTATGCCTTTTGCCTCTTTGTAATAATAAATAACCGTCTGACAAATTTTCTGCTATTCCAGAGACCACTATTCTAGCTTGAATTAGGAGCTGGTTCTAATTTTTTTCCTGACTCTACTTACATACTTAAAAGCGCCCCATCCCCCCCCCCCCCCTTATTTCATCGAAAATAAATACTTGGATAAACGTTCTACTTACCCATTGCATGAGAGGAGTGTTGGCAAAGTTAGTTGCAGCGTCAGTGTCGGCCATCTTGTTACGTTTTGTCTATGAAAATGAGTTTATTTCAAGTAAAAGTAGTTTTTAGTCCTCACTGTGTTTAGCAAATGATTCGGAGTACGATTTCGTTACATTTCGACAGCAAAATCACTGGAAGATAAATTTGGTTTCATCTTGTGCAAGATTATAATTTATCTTCATCTTTGGCATAATTTAGCCACATATTGAAATCGGAAAACATATTCTGGTTTCGGTATTCAGGAGAAGTCATGCTATATTTTTTCAAGCGCCAAATAAACTTGAATGCCAAACGGAATTTTTGAATCGAATCATTATATTTTGAGTACATAGTTTTTAATGTTTTGGTATTTTGATGATTAAATCTCATATCATGCTTTATTGACCAGCATAAGGAGTACCAAAACAGGCTAACTGAATGTTAAAGTATTAAAAGAGTGCACTTCCAAGATATGGCTTAATGCGGTTTCACAAACAAATTTTGTTAAAACATAATTAATTAAAATTTTCCAATATTACAAGCCTCACTTTATTTGAATTGTTCTGTTTTATCAGGTCATTTTTATGTTCAAAACATATCTAGTCAGAATTTTATCACAATGCCACCAGTAAGTACTTTAACGTGCTCAGATAATAGTAAATTAGAAATATAATAAAGACAACGCAAGAATCAAAAAACTTTAACAAAAAAATCACAAACCTTAAATATTATACAAATTCAAACTTTAAGCAATTCTGGGTCGCCTAGTCTTTTTTTATTTTCTTATTCCATCTGGAGAAATCTAATCGAATATTTCCCGATTTGTGTAATCCAAAGTATGTTTGTTAGTTAGTTAATTAGATAAATAGGTGCAGAATAGACCAGAACTCATCCTATGCTAAACTGCTAGTAGAAGCTGAAAAAAATGTCAATGTAATGTTGAATGTAATTCAGTAATTATTAAGTCCATAAGTTTGTTTTTGGACTACAGGACTGGGCTAATGTTTCTTCGTTACTGTGTTTGAATAGCTTATGACAGAATTATCACCCAGCCAATTTTAGGTTGGCTTCTTGCAGTCTTGCAATTTTTCCTCAACCCAGTAACCTGTTAACTTAACCATCTGACCATGAAACTAGCTCAATCAAACATTATTATACAGATATTATTATTATTACAGTATTATGGTCATTATCGCTTGCAATGGGTCCAAAACTGGCCTTTTTCGCAGCACCCTACTTCCTTTATTTCAGCATTTAGAACCTACAAAAGTTAGTACAGTAGTACGGTAACTTTTGATAATTTTCCTCTTTTGCCATTTATTTAGGCCTAACGGTATTCAATTGCCCAATCGGGAAATCCCATTCCAGCTTGCAGGATTGTACCTGTATCTAATCATACATGCATTTCTGCATAATTACTGGTATTCTCGCCATATTACTGTATTACAATCAGATCTGTCTGCATTTCCATATTTTTTCAGCCTTTTCTGCTTTTAAGCAATGTTACTGGTAATGTTTTTCTCATTTGACAGCTGTATTTACTGCGTTCAATTAACCCAAAATCTGTATAAATTATCCTGTCAAGCAGTCAAACTAAACCGTACGCATCGCTCTAAATAAAATAAAAACAAACATACAAAACGACACCGCCAAATTGAAACAGCCTTTCCACTTCACCAATTCCACAAGAACGTACTTTACAACCGTTTTACAACATTTAAACGCAAGATTGAGTACACGTCGAGTGAGTGCGACGAAATTTAATTTTAACGCGGTATTTAAAACACGAAATCGCTTAATTTTCGCCCAAAATTGCCCTTAAAATTGGTTAAAATTTGATTCTACTGTTTCAAGCCAACACGAACAAAAACGACTTTACAATTAAAAAATTACGTCATCAAAACCGAAATTATTTGTTCCATCGTGCACGCGCACACACAATCACTTTTTATACAAATACAGTCGGCTCATTCATGACTTCTACCGGTTACATTTCTTTCTACAAAAACTTCACTCCCCCTCACAAGAGAAAACAAAACTTTAAATGATAACTGACATTCGTTGTATGTTAAAATCAAATAATAAATCAACACCCTTAGGGCATCAGCCAGCGAAGGGTAAAAAGTCGCCTTCAGGCGCTCGTAAGCTCAAGGCGAAGGACAATCCACGAAGGCTTTACTGGATAATTACCACGTTGCCAGATGAGAGTGGTGATTAAATCGATCTATTTTTAATTGATTTTTGATTGGTTTGTGTCTTCGCAATTTTTAAAATATTAATTGCGTGATTGGCCTGAAATTAACTGAATACAATGCATTGCTTAGATTCGCGGAAGTCCAAGATTACAACTAGTATTGGGAATGAGAAATGGAGAGATTTATTATTTGGTCAACCAAAAATACAGTCACCAATGCAATAAAAATGTGCAAAAATAAATTTGTTTTGGTATGGACAGGAGGGAGGTATACGGCCGTCAAAGTCAACTCCCACCATATTTGCTGGTGTGATTGGGATTCACATTAAGAAATAATATTTTTACAATATGTTGCACAAAATCGATCCATTCTCAGAGTGTCCTGAGTATTCGCTCTTCTGGGACTAAAAAGAACAAGTGCGAATTGAATTATTCAAAACTGATTCTCAGCTCTGACTTTTGTTTCTGGCTACCCACTCTGTCGTACTTCAAAAAATATAAAAGCAAGACTTTTCGTGATCGTTTCCTTCTCGAGTTTAATCTTTTTCAATGTTGGCTCTGACCCTTGAGCACTTAAAACTTTGATTGCAAGTGCATCGAAAAATTTACCACACGGCCCAGTTGTTTAAAATTTGGTAATGTTCGTCTCGAGACATACAAAGCTTTTACCACTTTCCAAACCAAACCAAGTGTTCTCATTCGTATACCCTAAATTCGATCGATTTCAAACTTATTTTTGTTTGATAATGCTTGATGATTAATTCTAGTTTTAAAATTAATTTGCTAGTTCTCACCTTTATGCAGCGTGTTCACCAAGTTGGATTCCCGAACGATGTACGTTGTGTTTTTACCTTTTTTCATATTTGTTTGTGTAGTATGAATAAACTGGCACATGTATTTCCACTTGTTTTGAACCATTTAGACTTTAGAGGTTTTGCCAGTTTACCCGACTATCCCAATCTTCTTCATTGTTTTGTGTGTGTTTTTATGTATGTTCTGTTTTGTTTATAGGTGAATACAAAAATAAACTTATACGGCGCTCCAGAAGTATGTATACCAATATGGAGGTAACTAATTTTGTTCGCTTTGTTTACATCAAGTTGCGTAAAGGGAAGGAAGCCTGTGGGCAGGGGGTATATTCACTTGTCTAAAACAGACAGTGCCCAGGCTCGTAACTGAACTAAAATATAGAAAATCGGAAAAAATTATGGCCTAACCCGCTACACATACTACTGGAGTACCACTTATACATACTCATTATATATACTATTTTCTAAATTCTGCCAAACGCGACAAAAAAACCTGCTTATCAACATCTGACGTTGAATCGAATTCAAAGATAAGTACAATAGCAGCCTTAAATCAATATGTAAATAAATTAATTATTCGCACATTATTAAAGACCAAACACAGATTGATCCATCTCCGAGGACACCAGCAATTAGATCAATTATTTCCTGGCTAATTGATATATGATTGTTTTGCGCCTTCGCAATATATAAATTATTAATTGCTCGATTGGCTTTAATTATCGTTCGACAATGCAAGCACGATTTAGGAACACTTTTGCCTTATGTGCGAGGAGCTTGCTGGACTCATCACCGCCATAAACTGGTCGATTACGATTTCCTTCCCATCAAGACGATGCATCTGAGACGTAAAATTAGTAAACTACTCCCAAACCCGATGTGGACTGGCAGATAGATGAAAGTCGTGTTATCTGCCTTCTTATCTCCGCTATCCCTCACCACACTTCTGCACTTCGCCAAATTATTGTCTTTTCCAATGTTTCTCAGGTTTTAGACGTTCGAAAGCTTCTGTGCGAAGCAGACGCCATAATACAAAATTACTAATTATTAGCCTTCCTAACCCCAAATGGATAATTACCAATTATCTTTTCTTTTGTCCCGCTTTGTACAAAATATCTGATTTGAGTTTTCCTTTCGAAACTGCGTGATTCGATTTCGCTGTCTGTTTAACTTTGCGTGACTGATGATAATTATGTGTGGTGGTCGGGCGCGTGAGAGCATTGCATTTTTTGGACCTCCAGAAGTATGCACACCAAGATGGCACACAACCTGAACATAGCATGTGTGTACCGGTTAGGATACAGGTTGTGCGACATCTTGGTGCGCATACTTCTGGAGCACCGGTGCAAAGTTGTTTGGGATGGGACTGTAATCTTTCCGGTTCCGCATTACCTACGAATTTATTATTTCTGGATGTTTTAAATCTTATTACGGGTTTCGTCCGACTTTTTACATATGTGCGTGCTTTTGTCCTAGATACCAAAATAACCTGTTTGTCAGCATGTAATTGACACTTTCCGATGTCCAAATATAGTGCGCGCAGAATCAGGCCTTATGTGCGAGCGGTTTGCTAGATTCATCGGTAGATCCAAGTCCACGTATCTGAAACGAATAACTGGCTAACTATCTTCCATAACCGACATGTTCTTCCGCTAATTGAAGGCCAAGTTACGATTAAATTGCATGGGTATTTTGAAAACAGTTCTCGTACTTACAAACATTGATAAATGGGTTCAAAATGAGGGCTTCAATTCAACCGGGACAATATTGAGGTCTGTGTCTTCTGACCAACTTGAATTGTTTCATTAAACACCAAAGCATCATTAGAAAATCTATGTCTATGGGGATTCCTGTAGTGCCCCCATTACTTTGGTGCCTGCTGTAGGCGTGTGTTTATTTTTCTCAATGGTTAATCCAGCACTGATGCAGTGAAGCTCACTGATGATTAGAGTAAGACATTGCACCTGCAAATTGGTAAGTAAGTTACTAGATTATTTATTTACTACGATGGTGATATATCCAGTGATAAAAGCTCGCATCACCATTCCCAATGGATTCGAATCCGCAGCTTTATTCAGGGATGAACAACGACGTGGCTATAAAGTTGTGAAAAGGCAGCATGGAATACGTTCTGCGAAAATAGTCGTTTCGAGGGTCGACGCATCGCTCTAAACAATTAGTGGGAAAATTAGGGCCCGAGGATCGGCTCCGGTCCACCTAAGTGTTTCATCCGACTCACTTGTGTCTGCTGAGATTACGTTGGAAATATCGATGAAAATAAGGCCATGATGACGACGATCATTACATTGAGCTTTTCATTATTATAGCTGTTTTTGTGAACAAACTGTTTTTTATTCATAGTTTTCCATATTGAGCCTCCGGCTCAGTATCCAAATCTATTTTCTATAACTGACCAACCCGGAAAAAGAATTGCCCACCGCTGCGCTAAACCAGTGGTCGGCAATCTTTTTCAAGTGACGGACCGGTAAAGCTTGACCAAACTATTGGCGGACCAACTTTATACGAATGAACTAGGCCTATGCAATAAATTATACGCATTAGGAAATTTATGTTGACAATATACTAAAAACGACGGTGATGCTATTTAATGTGATGTCTGTATTTGTTTGATGGTAATTAACTGTTCCCATATTCGAGATATGGTCGACATTGACACACGTAGCGTGTTTCTTACTTCCAGCCTATTTCGTTTTTGTAGTTATCAATATTGAAAATCAGGCCTCACATTAAGATTTCGGAAGGTTAACAATGCCTGTCTCGTTTTGTTGGGGAGATCTTAGTCGGACTGATGAGAGACATACTTATACGAGCGTAGAGAAAACAATTGACCCAGCATTATTGCGACATACTGACATGGCAATTGTTTATGAAATCAGACATGTTGCTCAATAGTGTTATGCAGTGGTCGGCAAACTTCATGTACTTGCGGGCCAAATATAAGCATTTCTGGTAGTGCGCGGGCCGCAATATTTCCGCCTTCGAACTATCGCTACCATAATTAAACTTCATATTATGGCGCATTCGCATTGCTACTCTTCTATTGCTGTGTTGAAAGCCTGTCCCAATGAGATGTATAGGTGGCGTTTTAATATCCAACAATACATTGTTTTTATGTACTTATTATCAATGAAATAGATGATGTTTTATGGCAACTCGTCGTCCAAATGATGATCTGACATGCGAGTACGAAATTTAACCTAAGTGTAATGCATTTTAGATAAAGCTGCTTAAGGCCATATGTTCTTCCGAACGTGCACATTACACGTTTTGCACTGTCGCACTGATGAGCTGTGGCGCAGTCCCGGGGTCGAATTTTCGACGACTCGTTTCGTAACGAGTTTAACATTGAAACCCTTAACAACTGCGATGCTGACTGGGCATATCGAGCAAACCGGTTTTGGAATGCGCAAGTAAGAATAATATTTTTCCGTTCAAGCACTTTGAAATGCTCGACCCGCGTCGCTCCGTTTTCCAGACATTTTCAAATTTTAAAAATCAAAATTAACTCGAACGACATACAACTGACGCTACTTGTTACATAAGAAGCGCCGTACATCAGCACTTGTCACCACATAAATCCGTGTAGAGACAATAATAAATTTGGGATTAATTTTTGTTTTATTCATTAAATGTCGGGTCGTTCAAGGACCGCAACAAATTAGCTGGCGGGCCGCATTTTTCCCTGGTGTTGTGTTTGTCTGGTTTACTGTTGGGTGCTGTTTTTTAGTCGTAGCGTTTGTGGTTAGATTGTAGAGGTTTTATTACGGCATTGTCCGCTTTTGTGTCACCTCTTTGCGGACCGGCAGTATTCTTTCCGCGACCGGCGATGGGCCGCGGCCCGGTGGTTGCCGACCACTGCGCTAAACAGTACAGACATCGCTGATTACTGTGCGTGAAAGCCATGAAGGAGAATTATGTGCAATCAGGTCGTGGACTTATTTATGATCAAAACAATGGAATATGGAACATGAACTAAATAATGCAACGACATCACTCTGCATAATCGGAATCATGGATGGACTACCATTGGATTCAAATGAACATGATATTGAATTTAACCTAATTGTTTTTAATAATATAAAGATCGTCGCAATTGTCGCCAAGTGGTTCGCGCTACAGCCTCCCCTAAATACCACATTACCTTATCGCCCAATCCCCAAGCAGGATTCGCCATACGATTTTCGCAACATTAATTCTGTACAAGTATTTTTATTGGAAACAATTACAAAATGAACATTGTTGGAAAAATTGCATTGCAAGCAAAATTAGCAGCAGTGGTTGGAGTCATACTTTCTCCGGAGCCGTGGTCAATGCTATGAACTACCGGATATTTTAGTAGACGCATCAAACTTGAAAATTTTTTGAATAAGATACAAATCTTCACACAGCTTTGAAAATGCAACAATTTATTAATGTGAATTTAAACATTGATTGTATTACTTGTAAGGCATCGCAGATTCCCAGTGAATTTGCAATCAATTTTGAAATTTTACAAAAAAATATAAGAACATTCATGAAAATTGGAACACATGTAATATTTAACAATAAATTTTTGCTACAAATAAGGCTTAAGACAAGCAGACATCATGAAATACAATAACTGTGAGGGAGAAGTGGCAGGAAGGAATGGACACAAGGATTAATAAAGTAACTCAATGGTTGAACAGTAATAGGTGTTTCCCTCTGAACAAGGGAACGTTGGTCAGGGAAGATTATTGGACACGTTTAGTGGCCATAACGATCGTTTCAAAATTTTGTTGTTATTGTTATTCTTTTTCGTCATTATCATTAAAAAATCGCTTTTCTCTTCGAATTCTGGACCAATTGCTTTGAAATTTTCAGTGGTTAAAGATCAAATTTTTCTCCAGAAGGCTATTACTTTTTTTTTCGCTATGACGCCATCAAAATTATTGCCATTGGGTGGCGCTACGTGTCCATATATTTGAGCATAGCTCTCTTGTATTTCAAAGGGGGGGTCTGAGATTTCTATTTGCCAAGTTAGATCTGAACAGTTACCGTGTCCGACCAAACGCTGGAAAACGTGTGTTTTCATGAGTTTTGAGCGTCTAAAAAGCGTTTCAAGTATGAAAAATGGCTATGTATGATACAGAAAGATGCTGTTACTTTTTTTTTCATTTCAAAAGGGAGGTTCTGACCCCCAAAACCACCCACGACGTTGGTTATGAACAAAGATCCTGAGTGAGCATTGTGGGTAAGACCAGAATCTTCAACTGGGCCAAGAAGAGGTTGTAGAAAAGGTTGGGATAAGACCATGAACAGGGTGGCATAATGTCCACTCGATGGTGCTACAAATCAATAAAAACCAGAGAATTAAAGTGATTACACTCCGGCAAACACATTCACTGTGATTTACCTCGAAGTTTAAATTCATTCCAGAGAGTACATACAGAGTTTCAACCTTGGTGCATTTAAATCAGAGGCATGCAAGGTTTTTCGAACAGGGGCCAAAAATTGTGCCAACCTAGACTTACGGGTGACGTAAAAGTTTTTTTTTTATGAGCAATATTTACAGTGTTACAAAAGAAAAAGTGTAAACCAATAAGCTTTGTGCCAAAACTAAATTTAACCACAATCTCAACAGATCCCTTGCGCTATTTTTACTAAAACATCAAAGTTTGGTTTTAGTTTGGTTGTGCCAGCATCAGGCAGGCCATAGTTCCCCCGTCAGGTATAGGATCATAAACAGGTAAACACATTCACCATGATTTGACCTGGGGGTCAGATTCCTTGCAGAAGGTACATACAGAGTGTCAACTTTCGTGCATTTAGACGAAGGAATTGGCCATGGGACATTAGGAACCACCTTGTTTTCCCCGAACATAAGACTGTGTCTTATTCCAATTTTTTTCAAAATTTAACTGGGGCTTATCCTTGAGGGATGTCTTCTATTTTCATTTATCAAAAACAAAACAAAAAGTAGAGAATTATGAGATTTTCAAATATACAAAATATGAAAACCGAATTAACCGATATCCATTTACTTATAAATAACACGTTGACATCGAATAGATCTTATTTTAAGGGGAGGGCTTATATTGAAATAATTCTTAAAATTCAGGATAGGTCGTATTTCTGATGAAACACGTAATATACCCCACAAATGCTGCTTGTCTGAAACCTTATTCATAGAAAAAATTACATAAAATAAGACAGAATTAAATTGCTCAAAGAGGCACAAATTGGCAGTGATTATTCCTTAAAACATTTACTGGAAACAATGAAAGAGATATTACATTTTATTTTTGTGAGACTAATACAGGTTGTGAAGCCAAAGTTTTTTGATGTAATGATTGAAAACTTAAGCGACTTCCATATATTTGATTCTCTCAGAGTTTTGAGTCGAGTTACAAAATTTAAAATTGCCAGTTTTGCGACACTTGGAGAAAAACAAGAAAATAAAAATTTATAGTCCCTCAATTAGAGTGCTTTCAGATAAACAAACTTTTGAGCAGGCACATTGCCCACAAAAGCTAAACAAAGTCAAATTTTCCTAACCAGGAACTAACCCCATCAAACTAGTCGACGACATATATGTGAAACTTGGAACAAGTCAAGGATGAATAAAACTGAAAGAAATCCATAGGGAATCGTAAATCTACCACTCAAGCACTACACAACGTTCACTTAAACTTCACAAGGCAATTTCTCTCAAAATGAAAGAATCTCATGCGACTTTCAGGCAGGTCATCACTTTGACATGATGAAATAGGGGGATAAATTGTGAAAAAAATTTAAAAATCTTCACAAACTTATGAAAAGCAAATCACACACAAACACTAATTGTCCACTTTTCTTGACAAAGTATACCACTCTAGATGGAAACTTTATATGACTGCTGTACAGGGTGTCGGCACTGGCAGCCAATCAATAACACGAAAAGATTGAAAAAAGTCTACAACTCTTCACAGAAAATTCATGCATGCATCAAATGCATGCTTGGCTTTAAAAAGCTTTTTTTCTTCTTCTAAATACGCCGTTCTTTAAAATACCATTGATGTTAGTGTTACCGTAATTCCACAGGTACTAAATGAACAAAGTCCAACCTTTTTTAACAAGAAATTATTTCTTTAAAGGACAACCTCATGTGACCATCATACGAGGTGCGATTGACATTGACATCAGTTCTTGGAAGAGTAATTTGCAAGCGTACGGCATTCTAACTTGCGAGATATGGGTTTTATTTTTACACCCTCTGCATTCAAAAGTGTGAGATCGTAGATTCGCAATCGCGATTAGGCCACAAAGATTGCAAACATGGACACGGTATGGATCAGAAGCTTCAAATAACCGCTCTCGTAAAAATTGAGCAGCACCGTGAGCGATTTGACAATCGCGTTCCATCTCTCCGAATCGGAGTCCGCCATCTCTTGATCGTCCTTCCATGGGCTGTCTGTTTAAAATTTGAACTGGTCCACGAGCTCTTGAATGGATTTTGTCATCTACCATGTGTTTTAAACGTTGATAGTATGTCGGCCCAAAAAATACTTGGGTGTTGATTTTATGCCCTGTATGGCCATTGTATAACACTTCATTGCCTCTTTGTTGGTATCCATAATCATGCAAAAGATTCGAAATTTTTTGGACATTTACCGTGTCGTTAAAAGGTGTTGCGTCACCGATTTCACCTTTATTTGCCGACACTTTTCCCTGAAGGCATTCGATTAAATGGCCAATTGTCATACGAGATGGGATAGCATGGGGGTTGACTATTAAATCAGGCTGAATTCCTTCACAAGTGAATGGCATGTCCTCGGAACGGTACGTAATACCACACGTACCCTTTTGTCCATGACGACTAGCGAATTTGTCTCCAATTTGAGGGACTCGGACTGAACGTACTCGGATTTTCGTGAATTTATATCCATCTTGGTTTATACTAACCATTACTTGGTCCACAATTCCAGTTTCGCTTGTTCGAAGAAAAGTTGACGCGTCACGTTTTGTATAACGCCGAGTCGTGCCTTCTAATTCATCGTCATTCTCCGGAAGTGTAACTGTTTTCCCTATAACAACATCATCACCTGAAACACGAACGCCAGGAGAGATTAAACCATCGTCATCAAGTTTATCGTAAATCGCATGTCGCATTCCACTGCATGAAGATCTTTCAGGGCGTTCGAATGTTTCTTCTTGGTCGTAAGCCTTCTTGCTTTCAGCGTCTTTGTACGAACGATAAAAAACGGATCGGAAAAGTCCGCGATCTATGGAACTTTTATTCACAATAATAGAATCTTCTTGGTTATATCCAGTGTATGTAGAAATCGCGACGATTGCGTTTATCCCTGCAGGAAGTTCTCGGAAACGCAAATACTCCATGGAACGAGTCGTTACGAGTGGTTTTTGCGGGTAATACAACACATGAGCTAGTGTGTCCATACGTACATGAAAATTTGTGATGTACACCCCCATGGCTTGTTTTCCCATAGCACTTTGGTACGTGTTACGTGGGGATTGGTTATGATCAGGAAACGGGATAATGGAAGCGCATACGCCAAGTATCATAGCGGGATGGATTTCACAATGTGTATAAGTCGAACAATACTGTTCTCCTTTGTCTTGCAAGTCCTCGGGAAACATGGCAAGCATGATTGTCTCCTCTTCTAGAGTGTCAATGTATTCGACCACCCCACTCGCGACTAAATCCTGCCAACTGTAATTGTTGTACTCGCTCTCTTTAAGCAGATCAATGTGACGTTTTTTGAGCAATAATTTTTGGTTTTCAACGATCAACAACGGACGACAAATTCTACCAGCGTCAGTATAAATTCGGATTTCACGTTCACGGATGTCTCGTACCATTGAAACCTCGGAAACGATTATATCCATTTGTCGACGTAGTTTTCGTAATGTGTTCATCAATTGGTCAGGGTCTCGATGAATTCCAACCCAACAGCCATTCACAAAAATTTTTGTCGCATCAGCGATTGCAGAGGGTGAAATTTCTTCTAAATTTTCCATAGACCATTCTTCCAGAAACTCCAAAATTGGGCTGGGTTGTGAGCCGACGGAAATATACGCCATGAGTGCCAAATTTTTCACCAAGCCTACAGCATGCCCTTCTGGGGTTTCAGCAGGGCATATCATACCCCATAATGTGTTATGTAATTGTCTAGGTTTTGCAAGCTTGCCATCTCGTCCAATAGGGGAATTCAGTCTTCTGAGATGAGAGAGCGTAGAAGCGTAAGTCAACCTATTAAGTACTTGGGACACACCAGCGCGAGCTTGATGCGCTTTTTTCTGGTCACCCCAATTTCCGGTCGCAAGAGAGTATTTCAGTCCGTCAGTGATTATTCTTGTTTTTATTGCAAGTTCCAAGTTAAAGTCTTTTCCTCTGTCGATGAACTTTTGTGCGTATAGTCGTACTTCTTTCATTAACATTTTGAAAAGTCCGCGGAATAAAAACGCAAGCAGAGGACCGGCAAGATCAAGACGTTTGTTGCCATAGTGATCACGATCATCAAGTTCTCTTCGTCCAAGGGCTGCCACTAGTAGTCGATTCACAATATAACCAAGAAAATAGGCTTTTTTCGTCTCGCAAAAATCACTAATTCCGACGTGAGGCAACATCTCTTTCTGAAGAATCTCACGTGCATATTTGATTCTCTTTTCTTTTGTAACTCCTGGCTTAGCACCCCGAGATCCAATGAAATTCAACGCAACGTTTTGCTCTTGAATGACGAAAGCTTCATCTAAAGACGGTTTCACCATTTCCATAATCTCTGGATCGTCAAAATCGTAAATAATATGTTCAAGGATATCACGATCGGACACAAATCCGAGGGCACGAAAAACAATAATAATCGGAATCTCTTGACGAATGTACGGCACTATAGCAGTAATCCTTTGTCCAATTGCACTTTTCTTAACCCCTTGGCCACCACGAGCAAGCATATTAACCCACATAGTACTGGTGGGTCTGGAACTGTGTTCCAAACAACTTCGAATTTCGGCAGTGAAAGCATATTTTGAATCTTTCTTTTTGAAGACGTATACAGTGTTGGCGGCCATTTTTTCCTGAGCAATTAATACTTTTTCTGACCCGTTAATTATAAAATAACCTCCGGGGTCAAGGGGGCATTCATTTAACTCAGTCAAATCACGATCAGTCAAGTTACTCAGTAAACAATAAGTTGATCGTAACATAATCGGGATTTTTCCGATAAAAGTTTTTTGATGCTGTGTCTCTATTGGTTCTTCATTATGTTTTATGACTGTCTTTGTAATATCGACATAAAGAGGTGCAGAATAGGTTAAATTTCGCAGCCGTGCTTCATTAGGCATCATAGGACTTGGAGCGCCATCTTTTTCCCAATGAGTGGGCTTCGACAAATAAATTTGCTCGAATTTGAGATGGTATTTTGTTGGAGTTACAAGCTCTGTGGTGGTGTGTTGCGCTTCGGCTTGGAGTTCAATCATGGGAGCATCCTCCACGATTCTCTGCACGGACATTTGAATGAATTCATCGAACGAGTCCAGCTGTTGACGGACAAGACCTAGAATACAAAAATAATTATTTATTGCGAAATTTGGATATGGTTGTTGCTCAGAGCAATTTTATAGAATTTTGCACTCACTGATCAGTGAAAAACAACGATTTCTGAGCGGCCAATAAAATACTGAATCTACTGTGCACGAAGGAAGATAATGTACACTCAATGAGAAGTGAAAGTGACTCATCTCTGAGAAAACTAGACTACTCAAATGTCAAGAGATACTATACTAATATAGAATTAGTGTGCTTTTTCATGAGAACTTGTTCAGAGCAAAGTTATGGGCACCCACTCGGAAGTAAAGCGACTCATCTCTGAGCAAAGTTACAGGCACTCACTCAGAAGTAAAGAGACTCATCTCTGAGCAAAGTTACAGGCACTCACTCAGAAGTGAAGGGACTCATCTCTGAGCAAAGTTACAGGCACTCACTCAGAAGTGAAGAGACTCATCTCTGAGCAAAGTTACAGGCACTCACTCAGAAGTGAAGGGACTCATCTCTGAGCAAAGTTACAGGCACTCACTCAGAAGTGAAGGGACTCATCTCTGAGCAAAGTTACAGGCACTCACTCAGAAGTGAAGAGACTCATCTCTGAGCAAAGTTACAGGCACTCACTCAGAAGTGAAGGGACTCATCTCTGAGCAAAGTTACAGGCACTCACTCAGAAGTAAAGGAACTCATCTCTGAGCAAAGTTACAGGCACTCACTCAGAAGTGAAGGGACTCATCTCTGAGCAAAGTTACAGGCACTCACTCAGAAGTGAAGAGACTCATCTCTGAGCAAAGTTACGGCCACTCACTTAGAAGTAAAGAAGACTCATCTTTGAGCAAAGTTACAGGCACTCACTCAGAAGTGAAGGGACTCATCTCTGAGCAAAGTTACAGGCACTCACTCAGAAGTGAAGAGACTCATCTCTGAGCAAAGTTACAGGCACTCACTCGAAGTATGAGTCGTTGTATACATGAAAAAACTAATTTTTTTGTGCAGCCCAGCTGGATGTCTGAAGCTGGTTATATAACCCACCGACAAAAATGTTGCACATCCCTTCTCTAGCATGATGAACTCATCACACCCTATATTGCAGACATAGTTGAACAGCAGCATTCCAATTAAATATATAACAAAAGTTTTCATTGTTTTAAATCAGACAGAACAATCCTTTTTGTTACACAATTATGACAACATTTGATAGTAAACAAAAAAAAATTCCATTGTTATGTATACAATTACATCGTCTTTTGTACTATTATGTAACAATATCCTCAGGATTAATATATCTAAGATTGCTTTTATTTACAAAACTATAAAACTCTTTAATATCCCCGGGTATCACAAGCGAAGCGGTAAATATAAAGTGACATATTTAATTTAAACCGAGTTTGTCTTTGTCATATTTTTACTCAAAACAAAGATGTGTTTGTACTAATTACATTAAGGGTCGAGTTGGTTCCTGAAATTTCTAACGAGGTTTGTCTTCATGGACTGTTCGAGAGGTTTTTAAAGCGTTGGTTTTTTTTTTGTGTAGGGGGGGTGTTCAACACTTCGAAATGATGTAACATCGTTCAAGGCGGCTGATTTATGCCGCATTCTTGAAAATAGAAAACCGTCCTGTGTAGCAGAATTTTTTTCAAATTTCAAAGGCTGTAGCGGGGGGCGTCAAAAATATTCGAAATTGGTATTCGCTTCGATAAAGAATCTTAAAATGCCTGGTTTAATAAACGAGACACTCAGTATAGAGTTATTTATTCAATTTAAACTCCATTTCTCTTTGTTTCCATTCTCATCAAAACAAAGATATGTCTGTACTGATTACCTCAGGGTCAAATGGGAATTAGTTCCTAAATGTTATTAATTTTTGTTTTTAGGGGAATGTTGAAAAGTTTTTTGGGGGGAGGCCTTGTGGACTTAACGGTAAATGAGTTTGTTCAAAAAAAGCCAATACGCTGCAAGCACCACTTAGAAATAGAAACGAGGGACTCTTTCCTGACATTTTTTTTTTCTAAACCCTCAAAAAGTATGTGATATAGCTCAAAATAAATAGGAGTTGCACCATACGCTTGAAAATCAAAATAGATTTTAGTTCCCCGAGTGACAAGGTGGGAAGGGGAATCAAAATGGGCGTGTTTGATGGAGTGTATCGTATCAATAAAGCAGATTTTTTCCAAAACTGCAGATGCTGTGGACATCAGGAAAGTCCAAAACAAATTGAATAGTCGAATAAATTCAAAATTGAACATACTCTAGATTTCAAGAATATTTGAGAGAATATTTTCGTTTTAAAATATGTCCATTCATTAAGCATCCGACAGCCAGATAAAACAGGAATTTCATTCCAACTTCTGACATTAAGTAGACAGAAAGCAACCCAAAACATACCAATAGACAAGAGAAACCTTCATGAAGTAGTGGATTTTACATAATCGAACTTTAAAAGAAAATTGAAATGTGTGAAATGGCACAATAACAAAGCCAAACGATTGGGCATATTTAGCTGTAATTTGCATTTTTGAAAGCCACTATCGCCATCAAAATTTCAATATTATTTGATTACACATATATGAGTAAGCTCATCAAATAACAAAAAAATGCAGGTAATTATTACATCACCATTGACTAATATAACTGTGTGACTCCAATGAAAGTAGGTCATTGTGTTAGTATAATGAGCTTCCTTGGGTTCTATGTGACATTTGAACCAAATAGGCGTAAGCTCATAAGAATATAGAGTTTCAAAAGACGCAAATATGGGAATTTAACAAACAAAGTTGGGAAGCACTGAACTGTGCCATCTTGATCATTATCACATGACTAGCAATTAATCAATACATCACGTCTACTGTTTACCAAGTCAATTGATCTATTGCCAAAATATAAAGTAACTAAACTAAACTTTGCTAAACATTATAGGAAACCTAATGTTAACAAAAATAGCTTTCACACAATATAGACAAGGGATCGCTATAAGACGAACAAGAGAGGCGTTTGACTTTCATTGGCTTTAAAAAAAGAGGGAATTGTGTGAAATGCCATTTTCAAGTTCCTGTAGAGATAACTGAAGCTAATAATTCACCACATACATCAAATTGGCTGAGATGAACAAACAAAGAGAAATTTGATTCCTTTGAAATTGGAGAAATAATTTGGTGAGAGGCTAATTTAAATTCTACTATAAAGACGGCCAAAGTCGAACAATTTATCATTTGATTTATCATTGATATATATTTTGGGACTTGGGAGTAAATCGAGAAAAAAGCTTTATCATGATACACAGTGGGCTTGGCACCGATAGGCCTGAATGGAAACTTGATTAATCTTCCATTTAGAGTTATCGGGACTCTAATGGCCAAGCCTCGTTCTTTAAAAGGGGTCGAACCTAACGTATTACTCCCCCCACATCACAGAGAGTGATGAATAAATTATTCAGTTTAAGCCACACCCCTTTCTTAACATTAACACCTTGAAATCGCTTCAATCTTATTGGCTGTTTATATTTACTAACAAGCCACGCCCCCAGTTGTAACTTATTAATATTTATCATGCAACAATTAAATGTCCCATGGGAAAACTATTGGTCTAGTTCAGGCCCACTGATATGTTTCATCCCGCCCACTTGTCCGCTGAAATTATGACTATAGTTTTTTATGGATATAATTTCCGGTGGAAATACCGTCATAATGACCCTGATTGTTACATTGTGCTTCTTATTAAATAAATGTTAGCGGTCTGTTGTAAATAAACTTATTTTTATTTATAGCTTCATATTGAGTTTTGATCCTCCCGCCCAGTTACCAAGTCTATTAACTGGTCCACTCAGAAAGATAAATGCTCACCCCTGGTTCATGTGAGATCACACATTCAAACAGTAAAAGATAGGGCTCCAAAGACTGTCTACATAAGATTGGTAATTAATAGATAAGGACATTATGTTTCACACCATCACATTCACATATCTAAGCGGAGTGATGCGTTTCAATATCCCGCAAAGCAATGTACAAGATTAAAAATTGCAAACAGCGTTGTCCCGCTTCTCATAAAAATGAAGTTACACTATTAATTATTGATATAATATAGTCATTCTTTTATTATTGCAGCTCTCTCCCAAACCCATCAAATAGGCATGCCAGAATCAATGAATGCAAATTACATGAGTAGATCTACTTGGTAACTCTTGTTCAAACCCCATAAAGCAACTCATTGGACAAACATATTGCTGGCAATGTGAAAATTTATTGGTTCACACAAAATTTCTGCAACTGTCTCGTAAGGTCACATGATATAACTCTTCAAATAATGAAATGATATTATTTGATGGTATTGAAATGTATTTAACTATCGCAGCATTTGCCAAATGCAAAGTGAATACAATTTGTGAATACCACAAAACAAAAAAAAAATTCTTCATCTGAAGGTACAGACAAGACAGCATTCACTAATATGACAAACTATAAAGCTGTGAAGTGTCAGTAACTCATAGCATTTTTGCAGTTGCCTGTAGCTTCACTAATGGATTATTTTCTTTCATTTCTGAGTGAATTCTTGTGCCCTTGCTTTCAGCAAATACTCTTATAAAACCCCAGTCTACTAAGAACAATTTATCAAGGACTTATCTTGTGTGGCCCACTGATAAATAAATTAAAATATTCCAGACAGAACCCGTCAAGGGTTCGTGTTTAAAATAGCAAGGAATGCGTCACATCACCATGGTATGTGTTGCCTAGGTAACGACTTCGATTAACTTGAGGTGAAATGAATTATAGTTTGACGTAACTAAGGGTGATGTGACTTCGGTATGTTATTAATGTTGTAGACAACATAGACGTCATTATCCAAACAGTTAGAGTAATGGCCTAGCAGTTAAATTAAAGCAACGTTTCCCAGACGGCGACCGTGGGGAAATTACAACCCACGTAACGATTTGAACTTAAGTAAGAAAGTTTAACACTTTATGTTTTCATCTTTTTACGTTCCAGATATCGCCAATTGTTAATACATTCGTCAATTCAA